CTGGAGTCTCTCTGGTTTATTTACATCATACTTTAGGAAAGGTGTCCAAAACTGAACACTTTAGCCTACTCAAAGTTGACAGAAGCTTATATGAAGCTTTAGTAATTAGTAAGCAATTAAGAATGCCTACCTTCCTTATGCAACATATACCTCATCATAATAATGTGTACCTTTCTGTAATGGAGTCACCTTTCTCATAAATTTAAGATGATACATTTTTACGTCCATATCCTTCTTGGGAGTGCTGGTGCCCAGCTAGTTATTTTGCATTTATGTATTTTAATTTCTTTTCTGAAAACGTTATGTTCATGTCTTCCTTAAGATTTACTAATTAAATGTGCTTTCTCCAGTTTATCAAAATAATTTTGAATTGTCCTTCTGTTTTGCAATCTCCTTGCATCCCTTCCCACTCTGGTATCATCTGTTAATAGTTATACTTAATTTTCAATCACTAATGGAATCATTCAGTGCATAATAGTCTGAACAGCTTTTTAAAAGAGTTTACTTTCTATAGACTCCCAGACTGACCATCAGCCATATTCTGAATATAGGCTTTGGATTTTTTTTACTCAGTTTAGTGCCCACATTCCAACAATTAGATTTTCATTATATTTAAGTAGATTGCTTAGGAGAATGTTAATGCGCATGGTGCTAAATGGCCTGCTAATATCACCATCTATCATATTTTCCCCTTACCCAGAAGCTAGTTACCGTGTCAAAGAAGGAAAACATATTAGTTTATACTCTTTTTTCTTCATAATGCCTCTGTTGGCCATTTTTCTATCACCTTATTGACCTTCAGTTATTTACAAATTGATGAGTCATTTAGTTCGGTATCTTTTAGGTCTATTGTCCTTGTAAAGCAATAGTGATGCTCATAGAGCTGATGGTGCTCACTGAGCTCACTCAGATGTGTCTACATCAGATGTGTGTCAGCAAAGAGTTTTGTGCTCAGCCATAGTCACTGTTACCAATCTCATTTGGGAGTAGCAGCTTTTTTGATGTTCTGGATCCTGTTTTGAAGATGTTACCTATAATTATTGACTTTGATCTCCTTATGCTAATAGTTCTGATCTCCTTAGCTTTTTTGAGTATCTCTTTATATTACCCTTCAAAGGGTGGAATGTTGTACAAAGAAATCCAGAGAAAACTGCTTTTAGCTGATGTCAGTTTTTTCCAAAATGGTTGTAACTAAATTTTTGCTCTTCCACTGATGAATGTTTCCAATTGTTTTTCTTTTAATATATCTTGGTATTAAAATTTTTGTCTAGCTTCTTCCTCTATGGGAATATTTTCCCTCATAACTTTGGAAGTGGCTTATAGTTGATTCTGCAGCCATGGGGTGCTCTGTGGGACAAGGTTCATATTCCAGCAATGATACTAGAGTGTGTCTGAGAGGCCTCATAGTCAGACAAATTCAGACATTGGGAGCTCTCCCATTGGAGAGTTTTGATCACAAACAGTTTCAATATGCTGGCAGGCAAGACACTTGAGAAAATCAATCTGAATGAATGAAAGGTATGCTTCAAAAGTGGGCATGTTAAAAATCAATGAACCCCCCAAATAGGAATAAAAATTGATCTTGCTTATATTTAGCATACTTCTCTTTGGAAATAAAGTATATTAAATTAAGACTAGTTTAGATTTTGAATCAGCTCTACATGAAGAAGTTTAGCAATGTTTAGTGCTCTAAGAATTGATTTGGATTTTCTGAGAATTACTATATTAAAAAGATTTATTGTTTCTTATTTTTGTGTCTTCTGCAGAACTAAGCACATTGCTGGTACCTTGCTGAAACAAATAATGAAAAATACTGAACGGTTAACATTTGTTAATATTTGGTTTTTTTCTGGTTTTTGTCTGCCTGGAGTTATATGATAAAGGATTTTAGCAGACGCACAAAAGCAATATGTTAGATTAAGGGTTTTTTTTTCTTTTATGTTGCTTGCTAGAAACTTGAAAAATCCTTTTGAAATCCTTTGTAAAGACTTAAGCAAATGGGAGAAAAGAGTGAAAATCATTTATACAGGGAAGCTGATGAATTCCCCCTACATTCACTGAATTCTCCTTTCTGCATCAGTGTAAAAACTGGAGTATCTTTGCGTCTCTGTAAGACCCAAGATGCCATTATCAGCATTTGAAAACAGTGAAACAACCCTATTTACTGAATGTTTTCTAAACAAATGGATCAAAAACTAAAAAGCTTTTGTAGGTGCATTTTTAGCAATTTTCCTTTGGGCTCACATTCTACAGTAAGAGAAGTCAGGAGTAACTTTGTTGGCTTCCACTTCAGCAGATTAACTCAGCTCTAGAATAGCATTTCTCAGAACAGAATTTGTCCTCTTGGTAACGGGCAAAAAGAGACAGTAAGCCTCTTGCGGGGATTGTGCAGCAGAGACCCCAGGGACTAAGAGACTCAGCTGGACCCAGCCATATGGAAGAAACGATAGACTCCCTTGAGCATTTCCAAGCTACACCTTGCTGAAGGCTTAGTCATCCCTGCTGGGGTTTGCCGTCTAATGAAAGACAAATCACTTTCACCTATTACTGGGGTCTCAAGAGCTGTTATGAATCGCATGGAACTGAATTCACAAGCAAGGAAGAACAAAAACAATTCAAATGTTGTTAAGATGTAACCTAGTAATTTCCTAAAAAATGCTGAAGACGTACTGACAATAAACAACACATTGGGAAAATGTATTAGGAACACTGTATGTATTTAGAATTTTTTTAAAAATGGAAGGTGTTTTTTAAACAAGCACATCAGTGTTAATGCTGCTGGTCGACATATTTTACTGTATAGAATAACACTTGCCCATTTTATTTTATTTTCGAAAATAACGTATGAGAGATTCTGGTGGGTTTCGCAGTAAAACTGCAATCGAAGAACATGCCACAAAAATCCTCATCCTCTCTCTCAGTCAAGACCCTCGGTGAGACGCCCGAGGTATTTCCTAAGTGCAGCCGGGGGCGTTTCAGCCCGCTCCCTCTCCAGGTAAAACACACTGGAGCATCACGACGGACCCCAGCCCTGCTCCCTCCCCTCCCTTCTCCTCGCGGAGCGCTCGACACGCGCGGGCGGGGGCTGCGTGAGAAACTCCGCGCAGCAACTCCGAGCTCCCTGAGGCGGGGAGCGGAGAGAGGAGCGGAGAGAGGAGCGGAGAAGGGCGCGGAGAGGGCAGAGGGGAGGGGAGCTCCGCGGCGCTCCCCGGGCGGGATGGGAAGACCTGCTCTCCACCGCCGCCGCCACGCTCCCCAACTTTCATTCAACCGCCGCGCCGCGCGCGCCCCCCCGCCCCGCCGTGGCCGGGCCGGGGCCGGCCGGGGCCGGGCGGCGGGCGGCGGCGCAGCCAGTGAGCGCGGCGGCGGGGCGCTGCGGGCGGGGCCGGGGGGGCGCGGCCAGGCCGGCCCTATATAGGGCGGCGCGTGGGGCACTCTCGCTCCGTGGGAGTGGGGCGAGGGGCCGTACCGGGAGAGGCGGGCGGGGGCGCCGCTGCGGCCGGCGTGGGAGCGCTCGGCGGCCTCGTTTACGGCCGGCGGCCGCGCTCGGGGAGCACTTTCCGGCGGGCGGCGGCAGCAACCTTGCGGCGGGAAAGGAGAGCCGGCCGGCCTGCGAGCGGCGGTGCTATCCCATTGTTCAAGCGGAGAGATTCGGGGTGCGAGGGAGGGAGCCGGCGTGTCGCCTCCGTTCTCCCGCTCCCCGCTGCCCCCCTCCGCCGCTTCCCTCCGCGTCGGAGAAGCGCCACCAGCGGGGAGCCGAGGGTCGGGCCAGGCTGTTCGGCACCAGCACCGACAGCTCAGGTGCACCGGCGGGAGCAGGGGAAGGGGAGCCAACCCTTCCCGAGGCGCTGTAACCTCGGTGGGCTTCGGGAGAGGAGGAAAGTTGCTCCCTTTACTGCAGCAAGCCCAGGAGCTGCTGAACTGGCCTCACGTGGAAGGACTGAGCAGTTCCCACCTTTCCCATCAGGTGCCTTTGCCGCAGCAAAACCACGGTATCCGGGAGACCACGGGGAGCAGAATAACACCCCCTCTCCCCGCCCCTCCCGCTCTCGCTGCACATCGCTTGTTATTTTTGTCTCGCCGTGCTCCCAGGATCACAGGAGGATCTATAACTGTGATCTGTCACCGAGGAGAAGGTCGTGGATGAACTCCCTTCCAGCAGGGCAACGAATCACTTCTCGGCTGCTTATTATTATCGTGTTCTAGGACCAGCCCTTTCCTGCTAAACTTGGCCTGGGAGCGTACAGCAGGAGGGGGCGCGGGGGGTGGAGAGCCAAGCCCAACAGCATCTTGTGTGTTTGACTGATTTTTTTTTTTTTCCCCCCTTTCCCTCCTCCTTCCTTGAGACAGTTTGATGAATGCTTGCGAGAGGGGTATGATTTGCTAAGGCGCCTCTGGCAGGGCGGTGTGTGCGCGGTGTACAGCCCCGCCGCCGCCCCCGTGGGCGCTGTGAGCGGCCCGCGCGGGGAACGCGCGTGGGAGCGCTGCAAGCGCCTGCGCGGGCCGCCGCGCAGGGCCGCCGCCGCTGGGCGGACTGAAGCTCCGCGGCCTCTCCGCCGGGGGCTCAGCGGGGCGTCACGGCTTTGGAAGGGGCGAGGAAGAAGATAAGTAGCTCGCCCAACTCCGCCGCACCCTAAGCCTTGTGGGTTTGCTTCGCCATCGCAGGGAGTGTGTGAAGACGAGACCCCAAGTGCCGCCTCTCCCCGCCACCGACGGGCTTAGCAAGGGACGGCCCGGGCCCGGCCCCGCGCCCAGCGAAGTTGCATTCAGCCGCGGAGCGGTGCCACCCGCCTCACTTCGTCGGGGTTGTTTTCTTGACTTGGCTTTGGATAGAACGGACTTCGCTGTCTCCGCACCCTGAAAGTTGCCGGCGCGCTCCCCGCGGCGAGGAGGAGGGCGGCGCGCCCCGCGCCTCCCCGGGGCCGAGGCCGGTGGGCGGGGCGGTGAATGATGGTTGCGGCTGGAGGGAAGCTCACCCTTTTCCTGGGGCGCTGCTGGCGATGGCGGGCGCAGTGGCGCCGCAGCCGTGCCCGGCGCAAGTGCTCCTGCTCGGAGCACCCGGGATTGTCACGGGCTGGCGCTACGCTGGCGTCCCGAGGAACCGCGCGCAACACCGAGAGCTGTAAGTAACCCCGGCCGGGCGGGGCAAACCGCTCTCAGCCTCCGGCTCCCCTCCGGGCTTCCTGCCGGCTGTGGCGACTGAGGTGGAACCCCGGCGCCTGCCGGGGTTGGGGTCCCGACGCTCTTTTGGGTGGGGGGGTTCTGTTTCCCTCTCCTGCCGCTGGCCGTGCCGCTTCACGCGATGCCGCGAGAAGGCGAGAGAGGTGTAGCGCGCTCGCCAGCCGCTGCCTTCCATCCTGGGAAGCCGCCGTGGGGAGCGCGGTTTCCCCCTCTCTCCGGGATGGGGGGCGGCGGGGCGGCAGCCGCGGCGGCCCGAGGCGCCCCAAGGCGGTGGTGAAGCGGCCCTCCCATCCACCCACCGCCGGCGCCCATTCCCGGCAACAGTTGGCTGTTACGGCATCGCCTTCCCGAGGCAGAGCCGGGCCCGGCTCCGTGGGCGCCGGCGGTCAGGCCGGGCGCGCAAAGCGCTCCCTCCCGCACAGGGAGGGGCGGGCGGGGACGACGCTGCCGGCGCTGCCCCGGCGTGACGCGGACTCGGGCTCGGCATCTGCCGGCGGGCGAGGGCGCGCCGGGTGCGGTAGCCGCCTTCGCACTCGCAGGGCACTAAGTCGTGCCACAGCGGTGATCCCTCCCCTCCTGTCGCGCACTCCGCGGCTAGGGGTGTTTTCTACATGTGGTCGGTTATTTATTATATCAGGCTGCCCTTCAGAGGTCTTAGGGAGTGGAAGAGGTGAGCGCATTATTTCTTGTTCTCTAATAAGTCATTTAAGTGTTGGCATATGAACACACGTCTGGAGTGGTGGATTTCACTCAGGAAGAATATCAGGGACACATTTCTCCTGAGACTTGTGTGGTTTCTTTGCAGTGGTGTTTTGGCCATATGTGGTATAAAACACTAAAAAAATACATTTTTGTTTTCCTGACTGCGTTGGGAACGAGCTGTAATTGTTAGAGTAGCTTCCATGTAATACCACTTCCTAATGGTTTACCTCAGGAATTGCCAAGTCTGGTTTTATTTGTAGTGATTGGAATTGGGAGAATTTTGTATCTTGAACCCAAAAGGTTATGAAAAACAGGCATACACTCCAGAGGAAAAAGTAGTTTAGAAGTATGACCAGAAATGCTAGGGCCTAAAGGCAGGTTTCCATTACTTCTGAACATGCTTCTCATTGGGCAGTCAGTATAGCTTCCTGTGCAGCAAGTGAAGAGATAAGTTTTGGTAAAATCATATTTTCTGTCATTTACTCCAACAGTGTTAAGCTTGTTTGAAACCTAATGTTTGTAATAGGAAATTAAGCTCTATTCCACATTTGTAGCCATACTAGGAAATCTGAAAGTGGCTCAAAAATTAAAATTGTCTTTGTTTCAGTCACTCAATTTTGTAACAGCCAAATAAATACTGTTGCATATATATATGTAGTAGGTTTAGTGGTTTTCTAAATGCAGTTATAACCATGTTCCGAGAGTTTTGACTCTTCTATTGTTAAAGATTGTTGTTAAAGTTAAATATGAGCTTTATAATTGGAGGCAGAATTGACTTTTTAAGAGTCTCTTGTTACAAAGTTTCAAACTACTGCTTTCAAGATTCAAAACCTTGGTTCAGTTGCTTGGAAATCAGGAACTCACGTGGTTTTAGTAGGAATGGTTTGTTGTGTTCATTTGCGTCTCCTAACTTCTGAAAATGCTGTGCCTGTGAAAACAAACAAAACAATTTAAGAGTAGCTTTTGAATGTTTTAATTTTGCTGCTTATAAATTATTCTTCTTAGGGATCTTAATGGAAATAACATCACAAGAATCACGAAGACCGACTTTGCTGGTCTCAGGCATCTTCGAGTTCTGTAAGTTTTCTCTTTCTATCATTGATATCTTTTAGGACTGATGCTAGAGTTTGTAGTTACTTTTCAGTTCATTAGGTGGATGGATTATTAGTTTTTAACTATTGTGCTACTGCATCTGAACTTAAAACCCCTTTGCCATGTGTTATATACTTATGAGTAAGTTAGCAATTGCTTTAAATATAATTTGCCTAAATTTTTTTAATATCTCCTTGAGGTTATGAGAACTTGAGGATTTAATTTGATGTGTATTACAAGTAAGAACTGCTAAAAGTGGTTGGAGTTAATTCAGTTCAAGGTTATGAAATTTACAGTTTACACTGAAAATGGGTGCTCTCAACCTGAACTATAGGGGAATTTATTAAGAAAAAAGTTATTCCTTTACTGAACATAAAAGGAAATCCCAGTCGATGATTGTTGTTTTTCTGCAGTTTCTGGACAAAAAACAAACACTTTAATAGTGGATTTGAGAAAGGAATTATTTGGTTGTTTTGTTTGGGTGGGTTTTTGTTTGTTTTAAACAATTTTGTTTCAAGCACTCTGAAGGTTTTAAAATTTTGTAGGCTTTTCTTTTTTTCTGAGGACCAAATCTAGCTACTTATTTGATAAGGCTGGTTTAATTTGAGCAAGCAGTCTTATAAAATCCTTTTTCTATTTCTCTCTGAAATAGAATATAACATTGTAGTAATTTTGAACTTTGTTACGAAACAGAACTACTGTTATGGTTACAGTCTCTGTACAGTCTTTCACTGATGTTTCTCCCAACACCACGATTCAATATTTTAGTTTTGTTATTCTCATGTGAGACTAATATCCCCTTCATACTGTTCGACTGGAGTCTTGTAGCTTGCCGAAGAGCAGTGATGTGTGTGGAAGCATATGTGTAGTTTTTTACCTTGGGACTCGTAAACTAAATGAGTGAATGTCATATCAATTCCTGTTTCTTTTACCAAAGATTATTTTCCTTCATTTAAGTATATGAGCCCATGTAAACTGTTGATGACAGGAGTCCGGAAGGTTAAAGTGGATGTTGCTCTAGGATAGCTGTTGTATTGTTTTAATGAATATGTGGTTGCCTCTAAATGACCACTGTTAACACAACAACTTATCTCAGAGATATTAAAACTTATATATAAAAATTTCTGTATTTCAGTCAGCTCATGGAAAACAAGATTAGTACTATTGAGAGAGGAGCATTCCAGGATTTAAAAGAGCTGGAGAGGCTGTAAGTATTTTTAATTCTAAAAGTGTTAACTCTTTTTTTGGTCAAATTAGTTGTTAAGGTACTCAGGCTTCAGATTTTAAGTTTTTGTTTATAAACTTGGGACTTCTAGCCTTATTGAGACAGAAGAGAAATAAGAAATTCTCAAGCAGTATGTATGGGACTCGGTTGGGAGGGGAGCATTCATGATCAGTCCAGATTTGAAGTGTAAACTGCAATTGTCCTGTAAGAAATAGTTTGAATATGATCAGATATTGTCACCTGAATCTTGGATGCACAAGGACTTTTTAAAACATAAATACACCATAAAAGCCTGTTTGGACATACTGTGTTAGGTGCTAGTCTTGGAGATGTTAGATGTTTCATACAATGTCTTGTTGGACGTAACTACTGGTTATAAAATATTGTCTTGTTATGTAGTATGAAAGCAGTAATTGAATTCCACTCCAGTTTTTATATGATTAAAGCTTTTACAAAGGTTTAGATAAATTTAGCTTTCAAAAATTATTTGAATTTGGATTTAAAAAAAAAAGGTTGAGTACTGCGGGGAGAGAAGATGGAGCAGAGATGAGGGGATCTTGTGTGGTGAAGCTGAAGTACAAACACCTGCTTGGTTGCAGTGAGACCTAGAAAATGAGTAGTTCCCAAACTAGCTTAGCTTTTTATAATAGCTGCTTAATTTTCAGTATGTGCCTTCTTATTTTGTTGCGCTTCAAATGCAAATGTTTTTTAAAATGTATTGTACAACTTGGTACACTTGACTTGTTAAAGGCAAGATGCTGATTGTTGGACGTAGTTTCAGTTTGGAGTCAGGAAAGTCTAGGAATGTCACTGTATTAATGTATGTTCATGTAGAACTTCAGAGTGGTGCCTTCATTCTTAGGCATCTTAGTTGCTGCATTTTCATTATATCACCTTTTTTTTAAGAATGCCTCTGAGCTCTTGTTTAGTTTTTCATATGCTGCTGCTTTAACTTCATAAAAGTATTTCTACTTTAATCCATTGAAAAGCAGCACTGGCCTGAACATGGTTTGTCTTATTAAAGTTGCTTTGTATCCACAGCTGCTGTGTGTTTAAAACAAAAACCCCCACAAACCATTATGGTTTGGTTGGTCATTTTCACAAAGTTATTCAAGAGACTTAGTAACCACCAGTGTAATTATGATACTTCTATAATAGTTGAAATATTATGTATTTGAGATAATTACCTCATTTTTTCAAATAAACCAAAGTAACTTTTTGACCTAAAAATGGAAATGTTATTATAAAGTACAACTTTTTTTTTAATAAATTTTAATGAGATCGATTGCTCTTCAAAAAAAACCTGACTATGCATTTCTAAGTCGTATTAAAACACTTAATGCAATGCTTTTTACAATGTGTTTTAAACTTTGTACAAAGCATAGGGATTTAGTACAGCTTCTCCTGCTGAGGTATATATTGGAATAATATATACACATACCTAAATTTGGTTTATAAGGTCTAGATAAAAAAAATAAACAACAGTTTAGTTCATATTGCAAAAGTAAGTACACGTACATGAAACGTTAATAAACATTAGAAGACTCATGCTTTCACTGTGAATCTGGTTTAACACTGAGATACCAAATGCTTGCAAAGTCTTACAACAGTTTATAGTCAGCCTTATTTCTTGATTATATCGAAGTAAGATCTTGCTGTCTGACTTATTAACAAATTTCGAAAAACTTTTAAACTTGTCATAATTTCAAGGCACTTACTGGTAATATTTTTGAAGTATAGAATTGTAATACTAGAGAAAAATGAACTTCAACAGTAAAACTGATTTGTCTGATGTGCTTGTATTTTGCCGTTACATTGTCTGGGTTTTTTTCTTTGGTTTTTCCGTGATAACTGGGCAGCGGTAGATATTTTCCATTTACATAAGACACTAGTTCTGAAGAGAAATTACGGCTACTTTTGTGAGTTATTTTTCTTCACTATTCAGCAGGCAAACTGACATTTGAAAATTTAGTTATTTAGACCTATGAAGTCAGATTGTGTTTTGTCTTCAGAATTATTTTGTATCTGCTCCAACACTTGTCAGTTGCTTTAATTTGCTGGAATTCAGTCAGTGTTAGGTGTGTGGGTGACTTGTAATTTGAATATATATGCAGGATGTCTTTAAACCGCCCCAGCTGTTGGCTAAGAGCAAATATTTCATATTTGTGAGGAAAAGCTGAGAAAATTCTTCTTGTTTACAACTGCCAAGTCCATCTGATGAAGGCGCATTGTTATCTGACAGCCAATTCATCTCCTTGGGATTCTGAAATCCAAAATGATTTCTCAGGAAACCTGTGAGCACTTCCTTCAAGTATTTTCTTTTATACATTAAATAGCAAGCACTTTAAAGCTTTTTATTTTTTTTTCAATGTGTAAGTGTAGGGTGTCACATTTTCACTCTAAATGTAAAGTGCCAAAGTGCTGTCAAAGAAAACCTGACACAGACCTTTTAGCATGCTAGCGGAAGGTATAAGAGAACCTTACTACAATTTAAATGAACTCAATTTGGTTTATCAGATTGTTTACATTTAATATTTCTTATGTTGAAATATCCTGTGCTAGTGTACAAGCTGAATTTTAAAATATATTTCCCGTACTTCAGTACTTTAATGTGAAAACAGACTTTCACTGTAGTGACCCTTTGGGGAAAAAAATACCCATCTCTCTAACTGAAGTGGTGGTTTTTTTGTTTTTTGGTGTTTTTTTCCCTTTTAACTGGAATTTCAGTTACAAATTTTTTTTTAGACCAATTACTCTGATTTCCAGGGAACTGTTTGGTTTGTCAGTGAGTTACTTGTGTATACTCCTTTTTAGAACTTGGAATCCAAAACACTGAATATCCTCAACTCTCTCTAATGAAAGGGAAGACTTGAAGCACTTTGCAAAATTAATCTCAGAGAGAAGAAACTCTCAACCTTCTCTTCAGAAGAGAGGAACTGCTAGGGATATGATTTGATTAAATCTGTATATATACCTCTCTCAGATGGTTTCTCCTGTAGTTTACCAAAACAGTAACAAATCTCTAGTATACAAGGTAGATGTGGTAGTATGTACACAAAGCTATTTAGACCTAATATGCTTCACAATGGGAATTTGTGTCACACCAGAGTAATTGTAGAAGTGCAATGGAACTGAAAGCTACAATAAATACTGCTCTAACAACTGATTCTTACTACAGCAGCCCTGTGTTAAAGTAAAAATGTTCAGTTTGCAATTAATGATTGTATAGGTATGCCTGCTACGTAAGAACTGGGAGGGAAAATGAGGTGGAAACTAGCAACTTAGTAAGTTATAGGTCTGTGGGAACTTAGTAGCTGGAGAAACCCTGGCTAAGGTGATTTTCCTGTAAACCTTTTAGTTGGATACTTCTGTGAGAAGTCTTCAGTCAAATAAATGGGTATACACTGCACTGTTTACTTAGTCCCAGTCTCCAGCAGTCCTGAAGCACTTTAAGGGCTGAAATCTTAAGGCTCCAGTGCAAGCCAGTTTGGTGCAATACTGCCTGAACCAGTGAGTCTGCCACCAATGTGGCTTTCTCATTGCCTGTATCTTCAATGGAAGAATCACATGGTCTGTTGTGTTGTGTAGCTGCTCTGTCTGCTGAAATAACCAACCCTCTTTGATAGAAAAATGGGCTGTAGGTGTTGAAGTTCAGTTGGGACAACTTATACCTTTGAATACATCCCAAAGCATACCAAAAACTCTTGGATTAATTATGATCTTGACTGTCCTGTATTTAACATCTGCAAGAGTTTCTATGTTAACTAGTTACTTGTATGAGCCCATGTACCTGAGCAGGGCCTCTAAAGAGCATGTGGATGTTCAGTACATCCCACAGGGAAGGGATTGGGATATGACCTGTTATGTTGCGTGAGCCTCTGACATAGGCCACAGTGATGTATCAGTGTTGGGTATGTGTATATATATATCTGCTTCATGTCAGGGAAACAAAAAGGATCTAGGTATGGAGGATTTTGACAGCATTTATGGATTTCCAGAGACCACTGCTTATTATGGGAGACAAAACCTTTTGAAACGATTCCTTATGAGAATGTGGAATTAAACACTTGTTTCTTCTTTCTTCATAAAACTGTCGTCTTGGGTGTGATGTTTATAATAGTTTGAAATAGTCTCTTAAGATAGCAAGATAAACTGTACATCTCCCCTTTCTGAAAACTATTAGACACAGCTTTAAAAATTATTTTTAATAAATGTAGGCCGTTGTTATCCCCAAGGCCACCTCCTTCTGTGGTGTTGCCGATACTGCTCAAAATATCCCAGTGTTTTTACAAGTCATTGCCATCTGGAGGGAAGTATAAAACTTGGTTGAAGACAGCTGCTGTAGACTGAACCACTTCTATTATAAGCTACTTAAATCTAAAATTTCTGTACAGTTCTTTGTACTCCAGAAATACAGTGTAGTCAGATTTTGAGGGCTGACTATACTCTTGTTTAAAAAGAAGAACAGTTACCTTTTCATTTAAAAAAAAAAATTTTTTTTGGCTGACAGGAATGTTTTTATCATAATCTTTCCTAATATTTTTTCAGGTCTAGTAGTTGGGATTCCAGCTGTTATCGTTCTAAAACTATGCTAAACATGGAAAAAACATGTCAGGATAGGAAGAGTTTACAGCAATTGTTTGAAAACTACCCACATTTTTTTTTTCTGTATCTGTGAATAATCCATTGAGGCAGCAGTATGCCCCTAAAATGCTAATTTGGAGTCTGATTCTGCAGACATTTACCATGTGAATAACTTGGTTTGCATGAGTAGTCCTACTGATTACTCCTGTGAGAAAGGTTGCTTGTGTGGCCTAAAAAATTTCCAGGCCAAGACCCTACACTTTTGATACTTGACTAATAAAATTTATTTCTAAAATATCAATTTATGATCTTAATAGTTCTAAAGTGTTACCTGTGTAGACTTAAAGCCAAACTAAAAAGAAACAAAACCAATCCCCAAACAAACAAACAAAAAAAAG